CCCCAGAAAGGCTGCCAAGTCTCGGCCGGCAGCCTGGGCTCTCCTGTCCCTGCCCGAGCGTCCCCACAGCACGCATGGGGCGTTTCTCGCCTCGGCTCGGGTCCTCCCTTCTCGCGGAGGGCGGCCGCCCGGGGCGGACTCTGGGGCCGTCCGCCTGCTACGTGAGCGGCCGGGTGCTTTCTGGGGCGAGGGGGGCTTGTGGCGAGGAGCAGCCGAGGCCCGCCGGGCGCCTGGAGGGTGGGCTGGACCCCTCCCTCGACGCAGAGCTGGGGCGTTTGTGAAGCAAGTCACGGGGCCAGAGGGCGGGCTCCAAGACCACCCGGCTGCTCTCCGGCACACACTTGCCCGGACCTCACCTCCAGGATGGGTTCAGGTGTCTGTTTCGGGTCTGCAGAGTCAGCAGGGGTGCTCCTGCCCGGGCACAGGGGACACCGCACCCTGGCGCCCGGAGGCCATCGAGCAGCACTGGCCGAGGCCTTGGTTTCCCTGACGCCCTCTCCCTGCAGTGTGCCGCCGGCTACTGGAGCAGGTGCTCAGCTGCAGCGGGCTGCTGCCCTGCCCCGGAGCCCCCGAGGAGCAGCCCATCACCTGGTTCCAGTTCCACGGGTACCTGCAGCGACACGGCGTGTCTGACTTGGAAAAGCACCTGGCCCGGCTCTCCAAGGAAGGTAGGGCAGGTGCCAGAGCAGGGCCTGGGTCCTCGCCACCCCAGACGCCCCTCGGCTGTGCCCCTGGACCCTGCCTCTTCCCCAGCTGCTCTGAGACCCCAGGCTGGGGGTTTATAAACCTCCAGGAGGGCATCCTTTGCCAGGAAGCCTCCTGGACCCCGTCGGGGCGGGCCTGGCGGTCACTCTGCTTGCCCTGGGGTCGACGGGAGCCGATGGCACCGGCTGTGCTGCCGGCTCGGGGACCCTGCCACCCCGTCCTGTCTTCCAGTGTCCCTCGTGGAGGAGCTGCAGTGTGGAAGCGCGGCCCGGGCCGTCCGGAAGCTGCAGGGCAAGCGCCTGGGCCAGCTGCAGCCCCTGCCCCAGACCCTGAGCGCCTGGGCGCTACTGCAGCTGGACGGGCCCCCGAGGGCATGCAGGGCGGCTGGTGCTCGCCTGGCCAGTGCTGCCAGGGACAGGAGCTTCCGGGAGAAGGTATGGCGTCCGGGGAAGGGATGGCCCCTGCGCCAGGGTATGGAGGGAGGCGGTTGTTCTCTCTGAGAGACCACAAGGAAGGACCACGAGGCTGGAGGGACCCAGCAGGGCTGGCCCTGCCCCCACCCACGGCCGCCGTCCCCCTAGGCTCTTCTCTTCTACACCAACGCGCTGAGCGACGGCGATGCCAGGCTCCAGCAGGCCGCGTGCCTGGCGCTCAGACAGCTCAGGGTGAGTCATGCTCCCCGGGGTGACTAACAGGGGCCTGCTTCTGGCTAGTGTGAGTTCAATTAACATCATGATTCCACCGGGACCAAAAAAAAAAGGGAAATCACTGCCAGCAGGAAGAGCCTCAACAAGTGGTTTCAGAGAAGCAGGGGTCACCCCACCACCCACGACTCTGCCTGCCATACCTAGCGAGCATCTGGTCAGGCTCTGGTCCACGTGTGTGCAGGCGGCCCGGGGCGCTGGCTTCCGGGCTCTTGACTTATAGGGTTTACGACTTTCAACTAAAAACACTTTAGGCCAGCTCACGCCTGTCACCCCAGCACTTTGGGAGGCCGAGGCGGGAGGACTACTTGAGCCCAAGAGTTCGAGACCGGTTGGGCACGGTGGCTCAAGCCTGTAATCCCAGCACTTTGGGAGGCCGAGGCAATATGACTGCCTGAGCCCGCCAGTTCAAGACCAGCCTGGGCAACACGGTGAGCCCTCGTCTCTACAATAAATCAAAAGAATTAGCCAGGCTTGGTAGCGAGAGCCTGTAGTTCCAGTACTTGTAAGGCTGAGGCAGAAGGATCACCGGAGCCCAGCAGGTCGAGGCTGGGGTGGCCTTGAGCGTGCCACTGCACTCCAGCCTGGGCGATGGAGTGACTCCGACTCAAAAAAAAAAAAAAGTTCAAGACTCATCTGGGCAACATAGTGAGTCCCCTGTCTCAACAAAAAAATTTTTTAAAAACTAAAGTACAATCAGCTCATTATGAAAACAAAAGTGTAAAATATAGAGATGTAAAAGAGAATAAGTCACCATCTTATTACATAACCACCGCTGACACTTTGGTGTATTTCTTTTAAGTGTGTGGGTGTGTGTAAGCATTGAAAACTGTTGATAGGCCGGGCTCGGTGGCTCAGCCTGTAATCCCAGCGCTTTGGGAGGCCGAGGAGAGTGGATTGCCTGAGCCCGTGGGTTCGAGACCCACCTGGGCAACTTGGCGAGACCTCTTCTCTACAATAAGTCAAAAAACCAGCTGGACGTGGTAGCGCGTGCCTGTAATTCCGGATACTCGGGAGGCTGAGGTGGAAGGATCGCCGGAGCCCAGCAGGTTGAGGCTGCTGTGGCTGGGAGCGGCCACTGCACTCCAGTCTGGGCAACACAGTGAGACTCCAACTCAAAAAAAAAAAAAAAAGAAGAAGAAAACTATTGATATTCAACATAGTCTAAAAACAGTGAACGAGAACTCCTGGCATTCGGCTGGCCGCCCTCCTGAGTCCTCTGTGAAGGGCCTGTCAGTGGGCACCTTCATGCAAGCTGCCCACCCATTCTCACATGCAGGACATGCAGGCTTCCCCTCCATTTTAAAAATCGTAATTAATGTCCTTATGAGCATCTTTGTGCATAAAGATTTGTCAAAAACACACAGAGCTCTGAATAATGTTCCTAGACACCCCCGATTCCAGGACAGGGTTTTGAGATCCGATGCAGCCCGCGCATGGATCCCGTGGTAGGAGGAGACACCTGCTTCCCGTGGCCTTGCCTGCATTTGCAATGCTGGCTGTAAAACCCCGCTGCCCAGTTGCTGGACAGTTCGGGACAGACTGACTCACAGGCCTGTTCACTCTGGGAGGAGCCAGGCAGTTCTGAGGAGCACTGGCTGGGATCAGGAAAGCTGCAAGGGTGGAGCACCCCACAGAACAAGCAGTCCTGGGCACGGGGGGCTGATCCTGGCATGGGCTGCCCAGGGTGTGGGGTCGGGAGATGGGGTAGGCAGGCCTGGAAGGGAGCAGGCCTCCTGTTCCATTCGGCCCCACAGAGGCGTCCGTGGAGACAGGCTCTGCCCACGGCAACTAGCAGTGACAGGACTGAAAAGGCTTCCAAAGCCCAAAGGGGCCTCCGATGGACCCCAGGCCCCATAAGCAGCCTGGAAGCCTCGAGAAAGGGAAGGGCCGAGGCCCGGGGACCCTGCAAGACTGGTCCCACGCTGATCAGAGTGGATGCCCCCTGCCACTGAAAGTATCCCCGATGAACCCCGTTTCTCCTGACCTCCAACAGGGCATTGAAAGCATCGACCAGCTCGCCAGCCTGTGCCAGTCTGATCTGGAGGCCGTGAGGGCAGCAGCCCGGGAAGCCACACTGTCATTCGGTAGTGTCGCTGTCATGTGCATGGCCGCAGGGTTCCCGGGGCTTCTAGAGGCCCTGTGGGGGGGGCACACGCAGTTCTCATGACAGCAGGGCCTGGGCCACCTGGGATGGGCCATCACGGCCCCAGGCAACCAGCCTGCAAGCTTAATATATCCTGGCCGCCGCAGGGCTCCTCCCCTAGGGATGGCGGGGGCATTCTCTATCTCCTTAAACTTCTGTTTATTATGGCCTGTGGTAACAGAAGTCAGAGGCAAGGCCTTCAGGCCATGTGGGAGCCCTCCAGAAGCTACTCCCCTGCCCCTCTAGAGGCCCGGGACCCTCAGTAAGCACTAGGACCACCCTGGTCCGGCAGGGTAGGAGGCAACCCAGTGACAGAGCGCTTGACTTTCAGGTGAAAAAGGGCGACTCGCTTTTGAGAAGATGGACCGACTCTACTTGGAACAAGGAGAAGCCTTTTCCCAGGAGGCAGATGTTGAAATCACAATATTTTAAAAAGCCTTGGTGGATGAGCTCAAGCTGGCATCTTTTTGTTTTGCTGCCGCCCAGCCTGGACACCGGGCCTGAGCCTCAGGTGGATAAGCCGTGCTCCCCCGGGGCCTGGGCAGCCAGCTATCCACGGAGGCTCTGGCCACTCGCACGACCCCAGGTGCTGCCAGGCTTGTGTGCGGGTGGCACCGCACAGCACTTCCCAGGCTGCAGCCACTGAGAGTGTTCGCCTGACTCCTGGCTTCGAGAAAAGCTCTGACCTTCCCGGATGCAGATGTAAGCCGGCCAGCCATGCTGCACAGGGGCCACGGCCAGGCAACTGAGGCCCTAGAGGAACAGCTTGAAGACCCGCAGTACAGAACCTGCGGCCTCTGCACAGTGGCGGGCTTAGCACTTCTGGGCCCACAGACCTCGGGCCCACGGCTAACAGGGGGCCGGCCCTGCTCACAAAGGCTGCTCAAGTCACTCCAGTGAGGGTGGCAAGGTCACCATGCGCAGCAGCTCGAGGAAAAGAAGACCCGCTTGCCAGGAGCTATGGGCACCCCAGGTGGTGAGACGGTTCCCCTGGGTCACACCTGCAACATGGAATCCAACTCTCGAAGCAGGAACTTAGGGCCTGGTGAATAAACTGCTCCAGAAGCCATAGATGGTTGGAAAAAAGAGTTCATGGAAGAACCTGTTGCTTTAAAGAAAGAAAATTCCTTTCCGATTTAAGCCTATTAGAAAACCAAGCCGGGCTCGGGGCTCAGCCTGTAATCCCGCGCCTTTGGGAGGCTGAGGTGAGTGGATTGCCTGAGCCCGCGGGTTCGAGACCCGCCTGGGCAGCGAGACCTCATCTCTACAGTAAATCAAAAAATCGGCCGGGCATGGTAGCGCGCGCCTGTAATTCCAGCTACTCGGAAGGCTGAGGCGGAAGCATCGCCAGAGCCCAGCAGGTCGAGGCTGCGGTGGCCGGAAGCGGCCACTGCACTCCAGTCTGGGCGACAGAGTGAGACTCCAACTAAAAAAAAAAAAAACGAAGAAAAAAAGAAAACCAACCATGTCCTGAAGTGTCTGTTAACAATGCAGAGTTGACCTGGGCTTTGAATGCGGCTCTGACAATGGTATTGGAGAACTCTGTAACTTAAACTTGCCATTTTAACTTCTGTATATAGCTTGTGCTTTTCTGGCTTAACTAAGTATTTATTTGTCTTGTTCATATGTTAGTTTTCTGAAATTCCAATTAAAAAGACTGTTTTAATGGTGTTTCATTTTACCCAAAAGAGTCCATGGCAGTTGTTCCCTAACACATCCTGTGGTCCGTCTCTACCACGCAAACTCTGTGAAGGGGCTCAGGTGGTGTGCTCTGCTGGCCACGTCCCTGGATGGGCGCTGTGGCATGGCCGCTGGCCTTCCACCCGTTTGGTTATGGGCACGCCCCTTCATCATAAAGCACAGGTGCCATCTTTTACACCTCAAACACAGAAGTGGGACAGTGGGGGCGACTCTGCCATCGTAGTCCCCAGACCCCCACCCCACCCCTGTGGGTGCTTGGCGGCCACACCACAGCCTGGATGTGTGTCCTGGTCCCGTGGGCACTGCTGGGAGGTCACAGCATGGACCCTTCCTCTGTGGCCAGCTTTGAAGGGTGCTGGGACTCTTGGTACTATTTTTGCAACATTTTCAAGTCCGAAATTACTTCAAAGCACAAAGTCTGTACTCATTATCTTTTATCACTATTTCGAGGTCAATTTTACATCAAATGCGACTCTAAGAATGCACTGAGAGGCAGCAACTGTCTCACAGGCAACTGGCTAAGGGACAGTTCTGAGGTTGTAACAGCCCTTCTAGCAACTTCAGTGTGCTGAGTTCTCTGAGGGCCCCCCTGTGCAAAGGGGGGGATTTCTGGAAGGGCTGTATGGAGGCCTGCAGCGCCAAGCACAGCTGGCAGGCACGCCCAGCCGGCCACCTCTCGCCCGTAGAAGCAGTCAGCACCCTCAGCTGTGGAAAACGCCAGCCCCACTGACAACATCTGCTTCACACCAACAGGGACAAGAAGAAACGGGCGGCCCATCCTGGTTTAGGGCCGTTAAGCAAAGAAGTGGGAAGCACCCGAAATCCAAGTTCTTTAGAAAAAAAACTTTTTATTGTTGCAACTAAAATGCAAACCCATCATGTATATGGCAAGTTGGAAAACTGTACAGCTTGACAGTTCTGTGAGGTCACAGAAGACCCTGAGACGCCCCACCCCCCCACCATGCATCCACGTATACACACGCCTGCAAAGGTACATCCCAAAACACCTCGCTTTTTTTTGTTTGTTTTTATTTTTGTAAAAACGGTTTATTCCATTGGCCACTATAAAAAGAATGGCCCGAAGAGTAAATATTGGCTTAAGGCATACAGCAGAGCAGCTTGCTACCTCCCTCCAACTGTGACACGGTGGCCGTGACACAGTGGCCGTGACACGGGGAGAGCCGCCTGCCCTCCAGGACGGGCTGGCCAGCACATTGCTCTGAAATGCTACTGTTATCTACACACCCAGGACTACATATGCATACAGACCCCAGGAGAACAAGCCCAGCCCGAGAGGCCCACAGCCTGGCACCTAAGCCTCGTCCACACCTCGCCCGGGAGAGGCCCGTGTGTTCCCGTCGCCACTTGAAAGGCAAGAGGTGAGAATGCTGGCAAGAGGCAGCTCGGGCCACAGCTGCCTTTTTGTTCCTGTTAAAAAAAGCCACTTGATGCGGAGGTCAGGAGTTGCCCTCGCAGGAAGAGTCGTGAGCACCATCAGTTCCAACAGGGCTCATGGGCGAGGCCGACGTGCCTCTCTCAGCAGGGCGAGGCCGCCGCCTGACAGCTGCCTCGCCTCTGGACCACAGTCTGCTCGGGAAGATGTGAAACTGGAGCAGCGGAGGCTGACCCCCACCGTGGGGTCCCTGCGCGCCTACGTGTCCGGAGTGTGGGGTGGCTGCCCATGCCCTCGGAATGTCTGAGTTACCGCGAGGCCCAGAGGAGCCTGGATGGGCGGGCCTCGCCAGGAAGTCACCAGAGTGTTGCGCCAGGATCAGGCCAATGTCCGTTCCCAAAAACATCACCCTACTGCGGGGTGGCGATACTTCAGCCCCAGGCTTAGGAACCACAGCCACGTAGTGATCAGGTCATGCAAAGGCAGAGCGGACTCGTACAGAGCACGTGAGTAAGCAGAAATCGCAGTTTTCATTTCAAGCACACGGTATCTGGTCAGGACACAAGAGGACTATCCATGCATTCTAGTACACACGGGGAGGCGGTGGCTGCGAACTAGGGTCTAGCGGAGACGGGGGAGAAGCGGGACCAAGTAATCTCACATCGCGTATCTATTAAATACCCAAGTGTTCAGCATATATTATACCACTGTTCACCCTCTCACGTCACCCCCAACACCACCAAGTAACGACTCCCCTGTCCGCCCGCCCAGTGCTGGCCTGACGCAGCAGGCTCATGGCAGAGTCTTCCGTTTCCAGGACTACCTGAGGATTTATTATTGTACCTTTTGATAAAGCCCTTGATGCAAGGCTGACATCAAAAGTTTTTAATACATTGTTGGTTTAAGAAAAGGCTAGTGCACTATGGATGCCTTTGGGGACATTTTAAATAAATATGGACCGGAGAGGCTTACTAGACGCAGACTCCACGGAGGCTGTGGGGTGTTGCTGGGCCGCCTGCCTGGGACACACCCAGAGGGAGCCCTTGGCAGTGAGCCCAGGACTGGCACAGGCTACCTCTCCTCTGGCCACCAGCCTGGCAACTCTGCTCTCCTCAAAAAATGGCTTGTGGATTTGGTACTCAAGGGAAGGCAGGGGAAGGGAGAAGTCAGAGGTTGAGGGCGAGACACAGCCGGGAGGCGGCCTTAGTGCAGAACCACGTCCGTCGGGCCGGCTGTCTGTGCTGCACGGTGGCCCACACTGCCACGGCACGCCTGCGAGCCGGCGCGGGCGCTGCGGGCAGAGGCGGATAGTGGGTGAGGTGGATGGAGGAGGGTCAGGCTATGTGTTGCTGCTGAGCAGGAACTGGAATGAAACCAAACATTTTGGGTGAGCCAGACCCACCCCCAGAGCCGCCAGCTCGTCCACACCCCAGCCACGCCCCGGCAGTGCCACTGTTGAGGGAGCCCCGGCCATGGGATGGCGGATTTTTGCAACAGCCCCTTCCCCCAACCCCTTTAGGTAAAAGTCTGTTTGCATTTTGCAGAACCATCTGAGGTACTCAAAGATGGTCACCGGGAAAGAAGTCAAATATTTAAAACGATGCGAGAAGCCTTGGGAGGTGATTTCAGGACCGGGGTTGTGAAGTCAGCCCCCTGTTATATGAACAGCAACACGCAGCTAACGTGTGAGTTTCTGCTGAAATGGCACTTATCCTCCAAACGGACAGCAGGTGACACGGCGACAGCCACCCTATGGGGACGCTGACCCTGAGAACTCAGGAAACCCACATATGGAGATGGGTGACAAGGGCCAGGACATGAGTACGATGGAGGTCATGGGAGGGACAGATGGAGACACAGACAGCGGAAAGCAGTGGGACACCCTAAGCGCAGGCAGAAGCCGGGCCTGTTTTCTGGAGACGGCCTTTTGCTGCCCTTCCTCTGACAGTGGGAAAACTCGGAGACACCGCCCAAGCTCAGCGTGCACCCAGCGGATGGTGCCCCAGCGCCACAGTGTCCTCGTCCTCTCCTCCAAGAGGCTTACATTCGTAAAAGTTTGGGGGTCTTTCCCTGGGAGCTCAAATAGAAACTGCCTATCTGACTATACCACCTAAGGGTACAAGAGAGTTTCATAAGTGCCTAGTCTGTTTTTTTCCAGAAACAACAAAAAGCTGCTTTTTATAAAGGTTAGAAACAACAATGTTGTGGGTCTATTTTCTTTCAAAAACAAATAGACAACAACAAAAAAAGACAGAGAGACAGAGAGAAAGAGAGAGACGTATTTGGCATTTTCTCTACTTACTCCTGAATAGGTGAAGGCCCTGAGATTAGACTCTTATATTCTTGGGACCACAGGGCTCCTTAAAACCCCAGTGCATCAATCCTTAATTCTCTTGTCAGCCCTTCCACAGTTCCAGACTTTCAAACCTTCCATCTGCTTCTTCTGAGACTGGCTCAGATACTCCACAGAGCCGAATCCTAACACTGGGCTCGCGGCCAGCACGTCCGTCAGTGGAAACATACCCTGTAGCAGAGGTACGCGCCGGCCGTGAGGACCGTGACCATGCACATGTTGAGCAGGAAGGGCTTCCAGGGAGTCAGCGAGTGCTCGTCCTTCTCCTTGGGCGGCGATGGCTCCCCCTTGGCGGGGACGGCAGCCGGGGCACCTCGCAGACGTTCCCCCAGGACCCGACTTCTAACTTCAGTGTCTTGACTCATGCTGAGGGATCAGAGGGACAGAGATGGGTTATTCACCCGGGGAAAAACGGACAGCAAGAACCCCGTGACTGTGGGAAGAGCGCCAGGAAAACACATGCCACATGTAGACAGAGCAGGATGCCAGAGCAGGGTGCCAGCAAGCCGTGCCTCTGCTGGGGAGAGCTGGGCTGGGTCAACATGGCCTAGCGAAGCCCACTCGCCACCCCCAATTCTCCAGGTAGTGCCATCCCAGAGCAGGGTTCACACAGTGCTGAGAGCCCCGGCATACACCCAGATTCCCTCTCTCAGAGCTATGGACCATCCTGTCACTGTGAGAAGGCATGACCCAGATAACCCCTAGTGTGCCCAGCTCATCTCGTTTTTCACTATTACACACAACATTACGACAAATACAACCCTCTACACATACCTCTGCATACTTGCGGAGAGCTGCTCAGGGTAAGTTCTAGATGCACACAACTGCTGGACCAAAGTGCGTACACACCTTAAAACTTCCCTCCATCAAGGGGTACCAAGGGGCATTGCTACCTGTTGTACTAGGCCTGGACTAATTCCTACTCATCCCATAAGCTTCCATGCAGTGCCACCTCCTGCAGGCAGCCCTCCCTGTCCACCATGCTGCAGCATGCACCTCTATCGCACCCACTGTCCATGGCTCCCACCCCAGTGTACTCTTGGGTCTGCCTCTTTCCCAGAAAGATGGCCTAGAACTCAGCCGAGGACATTTCCAGTCATCTCAGTGCTCCACATACATGTCAGTATCCCACATACATCATGAACGTGTATCAAACCACAAGGAAGCCAAATGGCCATTCACCTATCAGAACACTGTAAGCAGCGTCAGCTCCCCGGTGGCCACTGTGAGGACTGAAGGTACATGGTCCAGCCTGGCTATCACATTTCAGGAGCAGCCAGGGACTGGGGAGGGCCCCGTCCTCAGTGGGCGGACCTGCGTTCCAGCAAGCACGGCCAGGTGGGGCCAGCACCCTCCCGGAGCAGCAGCCTCCAGGCCCTCGCCCAGCACCTGCCGCCTCTGAGAGAAGCCAGAAGCCACCGGCTGATATGGAAGCCCAAGGACATGGAAGAACTGCTCGCCAGGAGGCGGCGGCATCCCAGGGTTTCAAAACCAGCACGTCTCTGGAGCAGAAGGTCATTTCCCCTCCCCCAGCTGGGGACCCTGCCTCATCACCTTTCCAGGCTGCAGGGTACGTGTAGGGGGCTTCTGGCTTCTTCCCGAATGGGGCCGTCAGTGTCGTCCTGGGGGTCCTCCCTCACCCACTGGTGGTTGCGGAAGAACTCCTTGCACCTTCCGTTGTGTGGCTCCAGGACTCGCTTGGGCGGCCGGGGCGGGGGTGGCACGTGCTCAGGTGGGGGATCCAGGTCCTCGTGGGAGAGCTCCTTCCACTGGTCCTTGAAAGCAGCGGGAAGCCCATGAGTACCCACCCTGGTCGTCAGGAAATCCCCCGGTAAGTGAGCAGAGGTGACGGTGCAGCGAGGTGTTCTGACCTCCTGGGCGCCAGATGTACAATTAGAAGATGAAATCTTGGGGAAATAAAGTCTGTCTCTCCTATCAATGCCCTCTGTGTGTGCACCTCAAAGGCAGAACTGGAACACACTAACATCTGGCTACCTAGCCAGACACCTTTCCAGCTATTTCATTTTTACTATTTTTTATTTTTATTTTTTGAGCCAGAGTCTCATTCTATAACCCAGGCTAGAGTGCAGTGGCACAATCATAGCTCAGCAAAGCTTCGACCTCCTGGGTTCAGGTGATCCTCGCACCTCACCCTCCCGAGTAGCTGGGACTACGGGTGTGTGCCATCATGCCTGGGTAATTTTTTGTAGAGATGAGGTCTTGCTATATTGCCCGGGCTTGTTTCGAACTTCTGGGTTCAAGTGATCCTCCAGTCTCAGCCTCTCAAAGTGCTGCGATTACAGGTGTGAGCTACTGCACCTAGCCTCTATTTTAAACACAAAGGATTGCTGTTTTCTCTGATACCTGATGGTGTTTTGAACTATTACAACTGACAGCCTCTTTCAAAGACAAAAACTTAATGTCGTCACACTTGGATTCAGGTGAAAGCAATGCCCACCTGCACAGAAGAGTCTCCCATGATGAATTTGGCACCTTCGATCACAGCTAGGTATGAGAAACGCAGCTGGTCTGCTGTTTGGATCAGTCCCATCCGGAATTTCCTCATTTCTAACAGCACTTTCTTGATATCAACAGAAGAAGGGTCTTTCCTTTTGTCCATCTGAAAGTCAGAGAGGAGAAACGATTCAGTCAGGCACACCTCTCAAGTGTAAGGTGCCTGTCTAGGTTTGTGCTTCCGGTTCTACTTAGGAAAACTCACAGCAGGGCAAGCAGAGGGATTCCAGAAAATGTGAAAAAATGTAGCAAAATCAGGAACAACTTCAGCACAGGGTTGAAGGAGTTAAGAACTGAAAAAGAAGGGGATTCTTTGTTACTACCTGGAGCCCCTCACAAAAAATAAGGGACAACCTGCAAAGAGGGCAACTTAGAACAAAGCTACGTCAGCCAGGCACAGTGGTGCATGCCTACAGTCCCAGCTACTCAGGAGGCTGAGGTGGGAGGATCACTTGAGCCCTTGAACTCCTGTGCAGTGAGCTGTGATCACACCACTGTACTCCAGCCTGGGCAACAGAGCAAGACTCCGACTCTAAAAATAAAAAGAATCCAGAGACTTTCACAGGGAGAAGTTAGTACAAAGTGAAGGGTAAAGCTGACAAACTGCACTTGTAGAGACAGTGGGGAAGAAGCTGTGGCCAGGTAGGGTTGAAGTGCGTTCCCTTCTCTTCCAGCAGCTGCAAGGGCCTTCTTACCAGTAAGAGACAGGTGTCAGCCAGACAGAAGGTCCCTGACCTGCCGATGCCAGCACTGCAGTGCACCACGACGGGGCCATGCTCCAGGCTGAGCGACCCTGACTCGCGAACTTTGAAAAGAAAGTTCAGGAATGAGGCCGGTGACTCGGGGACTCCAAAGTCAGGCCACGTGGTATAGTGGAAATGCAAGATCTCTCGGGTTTCTTGAGTCTGCAAGAGAAAAACACAATGATTCTGAGACAATCGTCTGTACAGAAGTCACTTACTGCAAGTCTGCCCAAGTGTCGCTCTGTGCGTCTAGTTCTAAGAGGAAGGCTGACTCTTGGCTGTCCACTCAGGCCCGTGCCCCCGGCCCACTCACCCGAGCACCGGGAACCAGGCCCTGGGCTGGCACCAACCCTGTAGGGCGCCCTGCCTAGACTTTGCTGTCCCTTGATAGAACAGTCCCCAGCGCTCTTCTCTGCTGGCCCTATCACCGGCCACCCATGAGAATCTCGTCAGGAAGTCCTGCAAGGCATCCCTGAGAGAGCCAACATGTAACTGCATGAAGGGCATCAGCTCTGGGCAATGCAGGGCTGTTCAAGACTACTTGGAAGCTTCAGAGGATTGTCATTTTGAGAAAAAAGTCACCAACGTGATCTCCAAAGACTGGTGACTGCAAGGTGTAGTTCAACACCCAGTCGGGACGGTTGGTAGAAAGGACGTCGGCAGGAGCAGCAAGCTTGTACTGCCTGCTCGTCCTATTTGCCAGTACTGCATGCTAGCCTGAGTTCTCCCACTGAGCTCTCCAGATAAGTACTCCTACTGTTCCCACTGTTTTCCTGATGAGGAGGCTGAGGCTCAGAGGTGGAAAGCCCCAGTTCAAAGTCTGCCGAGGAAACTCTGAAAGGAGGATCCTGATCCTTGTGCCCAAGTGTCTCTTTCCTAGCCCAGTCTGCCCCAGTGGAACGGAAAGTGGCCCTAGGTGTTTCCAGCTCTGCACCTTTCTCCAGCCTCCTGGTGGCCATGAACAAAGGCAGTCCTCGCCAGGAAAGTGCGCGAGAGCCTTAATACCTAAGAGCACACAGTGAGTGGGGCCCATCACCTGGCAAGCCAGGCTCCAAGAGGAAAAGGGCCTGGGACTGCAGTCTCCTAGTGTGGGCCCAGGAAGACGGTAACAGCCGGGAAGCACGCCAGCCTCGCATCTCCCTGCTGCAGGGTGCCAGGACAGCGCCTGGGCCACCAGGAGCTCAGCTGATGGCGAAATGCTTCAGGACAGAAGCCTGCTCCCAAGCAACATCTTCCCCTTGTTGGGCAAATGTCCACAATGTGCCAACCCTGTGCTGGCCACGCTGCCAGGCACGTGAGGACAGAGTCCTGCCTCCCTCCCAGAGCTCACAGCTTAGTCACCCATGACCTGCCTGACTCTGTTGCAGTGAACTCGCTTCGCAGAGCACACATGCAGCCCTGCCTGGTCCTCAGATGCGCTGGGACCTTGCACAGAAGTGGAGAGACCTGTATGCGTGAGGACAGTTTACAGAGTCGCCATGGGCACTTCCACTCCTTCCTCCCCTCCCCGGGAAAGAAACACCTCTTCTATTTGGGGGGAAAGAAAAGCATTTAAAAGTAAGAAGGAAGCATGCCCATGGCAAAGCTCCTCCAGTCCTTAAAGAGGCTGGGTTACCTCTGTTGACACCTCTCTCACATCCACCCTCCTGCGAAAGGAATTCACCCTAGGCCTGGGCTGAAACAGACACCGGGGCTCCCAGAAGCCTTTTTAAAACAGTCTATTGGAGTAAAAAGATCCTAACATCGATACCTCTGAGCGGCTGTATCACCTGCCAAGCAAAAAGCACAAAGCCGTGCTGTCGAAATTTACTTCCCCTCCACAAGCCAGGGTCTACCAGAAGTCACCCTAATGTCAGACTTGCAGAGGTCAGGGCTACTTCTGACCAGGCTATTACACTGTTGTCCCGCACACTCAGCAAGCTGCCAGTGTGGCTGCCCAGAAGCCTCCCAGAAAGGCTGCTGTCCACCACACTCAGAGTTCCCGTGAGTGGCAGGGCTGCAGTGGAGCTATGGATGCAGTGCCATCACTGCAGAGCAGACCGAAAGCCCTGGCAGCAGCTGTACCACACATTCCCCAGAAGCTATGTGGCTTGAGCCCCTGCTCTGCTTCCCAGTCACCCGCACTGCATTCTAGATCGTACTCCAACAGTTAACGGAACAGTAGCAGCCACGCAGAAGCAGATGGCCCCTCCACACAGCCCGGGAACCCCACCCACATTGTCCCCCTTCGCCCATGTTACGGTCCCATGGCACCGGCTAAACCTCCCCTTCAGGACCAGCTGGTCCCGCACACAACCTGAGCCTACAGAGGAGGAGACCGAGACACCATGAGAGACGATGTCTCTGGCCCCAGCTGGTAGTCTGAGGGGGAAGGATCCAGCCCAGGCAGGCTCCAGAGGCCAGGGGATGGCTGGCGTGCCCACCCGCATGCCCAGGTGCCACCCTGAGCCCCCCGTACTGCTTCCAGGACTGGCACAGGTGAACGGTCTGCGGAGTTCAGCACAGTCCCGTGCCATGTTCCAAGGCCATCTTTCAGTGGCAGCAGGCAGCCAGGCTAATATGCATTCTCCCACAACAAGGAAACTCAAGACCTTGCTGGAAGCTTCCATGGACTGTGAAACTGGAAGGAGCCTCTGGAGGGCCCGTGCCCCGACTTCAGACTCTGAGAGAGGCCCACTGGGGCAGCGGCGTGCTCTGCTGGCTCTGGCAACCGTCCTGCAGCCCTTCTGCCATCGCACAGGCAGGGGTCGACCACCTTTATGAAAGAAAGGCCCCATTCCCTGAGAGCTGGTGGTGACCCATGCTGGGGAATGAAGTGGGCGCCATGAGGCGGAGGACATCTCCCTGCCTCTGCCCTCCCAGGCCAGAGCCCACTGCTCCGCAGGCAGGTACACAAGCAAGCTCTGCTCATCATCATGCCCAAACCACATCTTGCCCAGGGGACACAAAACCTGGGGCACTGGCACTAGGTGCTGTCACCCACACAAGAGATGCCTTGACCATCATCGCCCACAGGGCTCCATGTGTGTCACACTCACCACAAGGTTCTCCAGCTCCAGCTGTCGTACTGTGTAGTATGACTTGATGTCTTCGGAGATCAATGTCAATTTCAAGTTCGTGTCGTCAAAGACCATTTCTCTTTCTTCTTTCTGTGGCCAGTACTGCGCACATTTTAACTAGGGGAACAAATAACGCCGAGTCATTGTGAGCAACGGACTGTTTTCCTATGGCAGGAGGCCCAGAGTACATTCCCCAAATTTTATGACAACTCAAAGGGCTGGGGTTTTCTGAACATGGAAGTCAGTCAGCATAGCTGCCTGCCTCACGGCAAGATGGGGGCGGGAGGTGCGAAGGTCCTGACCAGGTGCTCATGCAGAGCTCAGACTCCCAGCCCCAGCAGCCCGATCTGCAGCCAGGGGGCGCTGCAGGGCTCAGCCTTTCTCGCCACCACGGAGGTGGAGGCCGGTGGCACAGAGGGCTCTGCCCCTCCCGGCTCGTCAAGCAGCCACTTCCAGCCTCACCAGGGGCCTGGCCGGGCGGGCAGCACAGGTGTCCGGCCCTGAAGACATCGCTGAGGCAACTGGAAGATGGAAAGAGATTGCAGGTGCAGCCCCCCTTCTTTTTTTTTGAGTTGGAGTCTTACGCTACCACCCAGGCTGGAGTACAGTGGCACACTCACAGCACTGCTGGGCTCAGGTGACCCTTCTGCCTCCCAAGTAGCTGGGACTACAGGCACATGCCACCATTCCCAGCTAATTTTTTTACTTATTGTAGAGATGAGGTCTCGTCAAGTTGTCCAGGCTGGTCTCAAACCTCTGGGCTCAGGCAATCCTCTCACCTTGGCCTTCCAAAGTGCTGAGATGACAGGGGTGAGCCACCCTGTGTAGCCAAAAAAATATTTTTGGTGGTCTATTTTGATAATTAAAACTACTTGATGCTCTTGATTTAAATGTAGCTCATTAAAATTTCCTTTAGAATAAACAAACTCAAAAAGATTTGGGTTTGTTTGGAGTTTAATAAAAAAAAAAAAAAAGACTCAAATTTAGCAGCATACATTGCTTGAACTACGTTCCCGCGCAGGTTACTCAAACTTCTGCTTGTGGATGAGTGTTCCGGACAAAGACGGTAGGCTGGTGGGGCTAGGGTGCTGGGTCTACAAGCCAGAAGTCCTGAGTGCGTGTCTACACAGACGAAACCTCAAGACCTTTGGCTTTCATCAGCGACAGGCAGTGTGTGCCAACAGCTCCTTGGTCCATGACACCTGCAGTCATGTGACTGGTCCAATCCATACCTCCGGGGCCAGGGACAATATGGGTAAGGGAAGTCCCATCAGGGCAGTCCTCCAACTGTCAGGAGAGACTGCTGTGCCCAGCAGTGACCTAGTAGACTGTGGGAAGGCTGAGGGAAACACCACAGAAATCCAAAAGGGAAGTGTTTCAGGCCGGCCAAGTCACAGGAAAGGGAGGTCAGAGGACGCTTGATGGAAGAGGTGGCGTCTGAAAAGCAGCTGCGATTTGCCAGGCAGCACGCGCAAAGAAGCCAACTCCGAGGAGCAGAGGAGGAGAGGCGGAAGCAGGCCCAGCTCACAGCCAGCACTGGCAGCGGGCTCAGGAACCTGTGGCATCGTTGGAGGCGACCGGGAACCAGGAGGCCCTTGCGGAAGGTGGACACAGAGCCACACGCCTACTGGTCCTGCTCTGCTGAAGCCAAAAGCTGCCCAAAAGACAAAACCAAAGCGAAAGCGAGAGAAACAGTCAAGAAATGGGCTGTGATAGCCACACGTCCCAGTGCAGAAGCCAACGGAGTGCTGAGGAATCCGGACTCGGGCCTGTCTGAAGTCGCTGCCAGCTTCACCCAGGTCACCTCCCTGGATCATGATGAGTTCCCAGCGACAAACTCTCAAACGCTACAACCTGTCAGCATTGAAGCAATTCTGCCCCTGAGGACACGGAAGCATCAAGGATACAGAAAGACCCCCGCCTCGTCAGAGCAGCCGGAGGTGAGAAGACACATGGGCCCACACTCCCCAGCATGAGATGATGCCTCCAGACCCTGAAACAAGGAGGCTGGCCTGGGAAGCAGAGAACAGAAAGGAAGATAGGCCCATGGCCACAGAGGAAGAGGTCTGCATTCCTCTCGTGGGCAGATCTAAATCTCTCACCTCCAGAGAACAAGCATTCACTTTCAAACCACGAATGAAGCCTCAGGAGGCTCTGTAATCCGGGTCAAGATGGGAACTTTGAAGTTCTATAGCTGCAGAATTCTGGCACACAACTGAGCATCTACTGCCCTACACTAACTGCCCAGGCCGGTCTTGAACTCCTGGACTCAGGTAATCCTCTGGTCTCAGCCTCCTAAAGTGCTGGGATTACAGGCTTGAGCCACCGCACCCAGCTCTTCTTCTTTTTTTTTTTTTCCAAGTTGGAGTCTCACTCTGTCACCAAAGTTGGAGTGCAGTGGCATACTCATGGTCACCCCATCATCGACCTGCTGGGCTCCGGCAATCCTTCCACCTCAGCCTTCCAAATAGCAGAAACTATAGGCATGTGTTACCATGCCTGGTTAATTTTTTGACTTATTGTGGAGACGAGGTCTCACCAAGTTGCCTAGGCTGGTCTCAAACCCTGGGCTCAGGCAATCCTCTCACCTCAGCCTCCCAAAGTGCTGGGATTACAGACTTGAGCCATCATGCTCGGCCCCCTACACTTATTTTTAAGATTCTTAGGCAGCTATAGTCACATGCTCTGTCCTCTGTCACTTCTTGGAGACATTGTTGCTTTAAACACACAAAATAAAACAAAGCAATAGTTGGAAGATCACATCACAGTTGGATGAGCAGCACTTCTGCCGCACTGACACACAGTAACTTGAAAAGGAGATCAACTGATCAGAAATCAGTCCTCACTGGCAGCCCAGGCAGGAACGCGAGTGCCTGCAGGCTGGCGTCTTAGAGCTGCCGTTTCCACCGTGAAGGTGGGCATTAGAGCCCAAAGGGCCTCCCAAAACCAGCAGCTGGCACGCTAAGAAAAACCCAAGAGAGCTAGCTGTCATAAGCCTGGAGCGAATGATTCAGTTTTCCCAAAGAATTAGCACCACAGAGGATGAGGTAAGCAGTGTACAAAAGGTGACTAGATCCCAGGGCATCTGCGACATAAGCGCAATGTCTCATGCATGAGCTCCTGAAAGCAGCAACAGCGGTGGTGGGCGCTCCAGAGAGACACAGGCAGGCCGGCGGCGACAGCAAGTTCAACTCCCCTACTCCCTTCCTATCCACCCCACATGCCAACCCTCGGACCACGCACATTCTGCACTGCCATGTATAGCCAGCTCGTAAATGAACCAAGAACTCCGGCCAGCTTGGTGACCCCAGGCTCACACATAATCCTCTTCTGGATAGTTGGTGTCCAGGGAGCATAGGAACCCAGAAGGTCACAGGCAGGTTTGCCAGGAATGAGAGAGCATCCCGCACTATTTGGTGAAGGAAGGAAACCTAACAAAGCACGTGCCCAATGAAGACTCCTGCAAGCTGGCTTCCCTGGGTTGCGTGGACGTTTTATGATTAGAGTTGAACACAGGAGACACTGCACTTCTCAGGAGTCCCTCTGGGCATGATGATGTGGATGCAGAACTGAAAATGTGGATCTCAAAGAAACTTTAAGAATCTCAAGTCAGACATCCCTTTCATGCCAATATGCATGCCCATGTAACCCTGGAGTGGAATTAAATACTTAAAAAGGAAAACAGGGATGACTGCCATGTTATCAAAGTAAACAACTATGCAGCCACCCAGTCAAGGTGTTGACGGTCACCACAGTAATCCAGTGGGAAAGGGTCTACGGTCCACTGATGGTCAGGCCTGGCTGGAGACAACTTAGCACAGGGCCAGGTGAGGAGCACACACGTATGGCGCTGGATGCCGCTCCGCGTGACATGACAACATAAGCAACCCATGAGCTAACAGCAAGGAGGTTTTGTTTTTTGTTTTTTGAGCTGGAGTCTCATTGTTGCCCAGGTTGGAGTGCGGTGGCACGCTCACAGCCACTGCAGCCTCGACCTGCTGGGCTCCGGCGATCCTTCTGCCTTCAGTCTTCCAAGTAGCCACCACGCCCAGCTTATTTTGTGTAATTTACTGTAGAGACGGGGTCTCACCAAGTTGCCCAGGCAGGTCTTGTACCCCCGGGCTCAGGCAAACCTCTTACCTTGGGATTACAGGCTGAGCCACCGTGCCCGGCCCAGCAAGGAGGTTTTACTAAAACTTTTAGCAGCAAAGAAGGAGAGAAAAAGCAAATGCTACCATATCTGATGATTTCTGGAAAAAGATCTTGATTTAAGATTCCCAACTCTCAATGCCCTCTGGAGCAGTGGCTCTCAACCGGGGGAGTTCTGCCCACTAGGGAACACTGGACAAATCTGGAGCTGGACAAAGAGGCAGGTCTGATTGCCACATCTGGGGGAGCTACTGGCATCTGGCAGGCAAAGGCCAGAGAGACTACACACCTCCTACAATGCCCAGCACAGCTACTCCCATCCTTTGCAGAGGAAGAACAATCCAGCCAGTGTGAGCGGTGTGGGGCTCAGCACTCACGGGTGGGGCAGTGAAGGATCCAGCCCACGGTGGGGGTGGGGGGCGGAGCTCAGCACCCAAGGGCACATCTGTCCAAGGATCCTGCCGTGTGAGCGCCCGCGGCGGATCAGTCTGAACCCTTCTGTGGGCCAGGCTTTCCATCCCTCGCGGAGGGTGTGCTGTGGGAACCTGATGCTTTGTCTCTTTATTCAAAATTGCTGACAAGAGTGGTGAAGGGTGGGGGTTTGTTCACATTTGTAACTTCACATTTTACTAATCAAGCAGAAAGAAAAAAGCTAAAACCTGCTATCACCGAGAAAGCTATTTTCTAAGACGTGATGCGTCATTTCACCAATCGAACACTCAGGCAAGCTCCTTCCCTGTTATCGCTGAGTAAATAAATACATTCATCTAAAAAAAGGCAGGCAGAAGTCAGCAAGACAAAACCAAACCAGCCCTGAGGGCCGCGGGCACGTGCTGCTGTCCTGAGAGGCCTGCTCCCTTGAGTGGCAGCACACTCCAGGAGTGGTGGGAGAGGCCTGTGTTCAGGCTTCCTTTGATGCGCTGCTCTTCCCGCTGGTGTTTTCTGTGCTCCAGGGCCTGACTGTGCTGTCTCTGGGGGGCGACTGCCTGGGAGCCCTCCTGTTCCCTGACAAGCCGCATCTGTGTCCCAACGCGGCCAGGACAGCTGGGAGAGCAGTGTCGCGTGGAGCCTGGACCTGCCAAGGCCCGGGGACACCCAGTTCTCCACTCCCAGCCCCGCGGGCCCTTGGTCTCCACAATCCCAGCTCTTCTCCCACGGCCTGCGGCTACGGAGCCCCACAGTGATAGGGAGGAGCAGGGGAGGGAGGGGCAGCAGAGAGGCCATGAGGTGACCCCGCCAGAGTAGGCAGCGAGGGAGAGGGGGGTCGCAGGGCGGTTGACTCTGAGTGCTTGGAGGCGGGGTGCGGGTGGGTGCTTGGATTCCTCACCCAGAGAATACGGTGAGATACCAGAAAACTGGAGCTTGAAGAGGGGGAGAAGTCTGGGTCCAGGGACCCAGAGCCAGCCGCATGGGGGTCTACAAGCCGTAGCATACATTACCTGTGAGGCTGGGAAGCCATAGAAGGGCTTCCAGCTAGGAAGAGCTGTGGTGAGGCTTGGGAGAGAAAGCTCGTTCTGGAAGCATGGTTCAGAACGCACTGAGGGAGCAAGTTGAGAGGTGGGGGTGGCTAAGGGCACAGTCACATGGGGTGGTGGCACACCTCACACCCTGGTACTACCCCAAGGGATGGCTTTTGGTTTTTTTGTTTTTTGAGACAGGGTCTCTCTCTGTCACCTAGACTGGAGTGTAGTGATGCAATCATAGGGCACTGCAGCCTCGACCTCCTGGGCTCAACGGATTCTCATGCCTCAGTTTCCCAAGCAGCGGGATATGCCTCCATGCCTGGCTAATTTTTCTTTTTTTTTTTTTTTGTAGAGACAAGTTCTTGCTATGTTGCCCTCCTACCTCAGCCTCCCAAAGTGCTAGGATTATAGGTGTGAGCCACTGTGCCCAGTTCAAGGGATGTGTTGAGTTGCAAAGAATCTGGAAACAAATGCACAAGCAACATCTACACTGAAGAGGCGTGGCCAGAGTCCAGCATCTGGGTATTTTTTTTTTTTTAAGTTGGAGTCTCGCTCTGTCGCCCAGACTGGAGTGCAGTGGCTATTCCCGGCCACTGCAGCCTCAACCTGCTGGGCTCCAGCGATCCTTCCGCCTCAGCCTTCCAAGTAGCTGGAACTACAGGCGCGTGCTACCACGCCCGGCTCATTTTTTGATTTATTGTAGAGATGAGGTCTCGCCAAGTTGCCCAGGTGGGTCTCGAACCCGCGGGCTCAGGCAACCCACTCACCTCAGCCTCCCAAAGGCGTGGGATTACAGGCTGAGCCACCGAGCCCGGCTGTGTCTGGGTATTTTATGCAGGTAAATCTAGTCTAGATTCCAGTTGCTCCCACAGGTCTGCAGAGGTGACTTGACAAAGGCAAAAAAATCACCTGTGAAGATACACTAAAAGCTTGCTTTTCAAAATAAAACTAGGTTGACACAATTCCACAATACAATACAGAAGCACAGGAACCACACACACACACACACACACACACACACACACACACGCACACGCACACGCACACACACACGCTGGAGGCTGGAGAGTGATGGGGTATGAGTCAGGGGCAATTTTATTCCCCCCATTCACTTAATTCACTTGTTTACAACAAACATGTATTTATACACTCCCCTTCTTTTTTATTTCTTTAATAAAAATGACCCCACGTATAGGAAACAGAAAAGCCACGCAGTAGGCTGGCACAGCACGCAGCTCGAAGGGCATGTGGCCGTGACTCACCGAGCCTTTCTCCATCACTCTGTTGAGCATGACGACGCCCCTGCTCTTCTGCTCCCACACCATCTCCCAGAAGTGCCCACATGTGTTGGGTAGAGGTCCCTGCAAACATAACGCACAGCTGTGACATCCGGAACACACACTCTGCATGGAGAGCTCACCTGTGGGGTCAGCGGCTGACAGCACCCTCAGTCAGAGCATAGGCAGTGTGGTCTCGGTGAGAGGTCACTTCCGCGTCTCAGCGCAGGCGGACCAGGCAAGGGCGGTAAGCGCAGACCCTGCTCTCTGGCCTGGCTGGCCGGCTGAGGTTCTGCTGGACCCATCCCTGGGGCATTACCGGGTGCAGGCAAGAGGCACTGCCCACTCTGTGACCTCAGGCAGGTTGGTTACCTCTCCACACCTCAGTTTCCCCATCTATCTCACTTGACTAACACAAGTACCTGCTTGCAGAGTTGTGAAAAGGTACTGTGTTCAGGCCTAGAGAGTAAGCACCCAACAAAGCGTCAGTTGCCATCCCCCCATCAGCAGTGGTGAGCCTGGCAGCAGTCTTCATCCCAGAAGGCTGAAGGAACGACAGGTGGCCCAAGGGCACAGTGTTACCATGTACCGGTGTTTGGTGAGCAGCCAGTCCCTCCGGCCCACCTGGCAACAGGCACAGATGTTCCCAGGACACGAGGTACAACCACCTCGAGTCTGTCTCAACGTTAGCACTGCCTAGAAGGGACGTCCCTGTCACCTCCACGCCAGAGCCTGTCACTTCTTTGGTCAATGCCACTTCCGGGGGGTCCCACACCCACCCATCTTCGCCCAAGCTCTCCTCACCCTTTCAGTCTTTCCCGTTGAGTCTGTCATGCTCTGATCCACCATGCTGGCCCTCAGTCCCTCCTGTTTTCTTTCCTGAATTCGTCTCAAACTTATTGCCTGGGCAGACACGCCAGCACTGTAGGCATGTACTACACCCTTTCCCTGCAGCCAGCGGGACAACAGTTGCTGGCAGCCAGAACTCAGGCAACTCCCGGGCCCTCCTCCCTCTGGAGGAGCTGCGGCCCTCCAGCTCTTTGCGGCTCTCACCTACTCACCTGGTGCCTCCCTGACCCCACCGTCACCCCAGTTTAGAAAGGGTCTGAAGGACTATAATCCCCTAAGATTGGCAAGGACACACAGCACACTTGCTGACACTCCATGGGGAGGTGACAGACCCCGGGGACATTATTCTCTACTCCTCCATTCCTCTGACTTTAAGAATTGCAAACAGAGCCTTATATTATTTGATAATGAACAACACTGAAAATGGAAAATGTGTAGGGCTTCTTGGTTCTGGGGCCTGGGAAGAGCTTCAGTCCTCATGTCTAGGGTGCTGGTCTAGGGTCCAGCTGCTTCCGCTCCTTCTGTAAACTCCAGCACAGGGAGCCTGCGAGGGCAGTCGATCAGCGCCCCTGGTGCCAGCTCACATGCCAGGCCAAATTTCACATGGCCCAAGTAATGGCAAGGCATGGGGTGGGCAGGACACTGGGTTTCCACAGTCATTTCCAGGTGTTCCACTTGACACTGTCTACTCTCCCATGGGTGTCCAAAGGGTGTCCTGACCCCCTGCAAATGGCTAAAATCAGGAAGTAGGATGTTTGACTTCTTCAAAAAGCAAAGTCCTCAGTAAGTCACTCTGCCACATCCTCTTCCTATCAGCTCACCACCCCAGGCAGCTCCCTCCTTACCACTCCAGCCCCCAACATACAACCCGGGATGTCAGAAGGACTGTGGCTCAGGGCCTGCTGAGGGCCTTCCCTGGACTCGTACACCCAGAACATCCTCAGTGGCTCCAAAGACTGAGCACAGCTCGGATGATGTGCCATCTATGGACCCGGAGGCCGCAGGGCCGAGTTGGGTCAAGGACGGGAGGACCTGGGACAGGACAGAGGCAATGAGAAGGGCCTGGGTAGCTATGCCCTGCTCCAGCCCCCACCCAGGGCGGCCTTTCCCCCCAGTGCTCTGACTTCCCCAGCACCCTAACTGCCAAATGTCAAGCAGAACTAGGTGTGCAAGATTCCCTGCAGACTCAGCCATGAATGAGGAGGATGAACTGATGTGGATGGAGAAAGCGGGCACTGTGCTGAAAAACTGACAGCACAAAGCCCAGGTGGCAACTCACAGGCAACAGGAGAGGACCGCAAAATTCATTCGGAAGTATGTTTCCTCTACCCCGTCCCAGATTCTAGGGTCTTTTGTCACATACTGTCAAGTGTTTTATAAGAGGCTCAATTATTAAACCACTTCTGTGATGGCTTCTCCATATAGATGCCAACAGCCAATGGGAGTTGGACATGGTTTTTTCTGCATGTTCACATGATCTAACAATGCATTTTTCTGGGTCAAAGAATGAGGACCATGTGAGGAATCTGAACAACTATGGACGAAGATGCCCTGTCTTCCACTGCCCCTCCCAGGTGGCATCAGAGAAGCCGGCACACAAGGCAAATACTTCTGGAACTAACACCGATACAGAGCCCGTGGCCACAGCTCCTCCACCTATCACCAGACTCCAGGTGCAGCTGGCATTTGATGCTGCTTCCCAGAAGCTCTTGCGCCAGCAATGTCACCACATGCTTCCCAGCAGAGATGAGTGTCACGACCAAACTGAGCCTCTAAAGGAAGACTGTCTTCCCTCCTTGTTTCTTTTCAGTTTGTTTAAAACCTGCCCTTCTAAAGGATGAGGCACATTTACCGTGAGGTTAGACAATAGCACTCTAAACTCTTAAGTTGACATTTTAAAATGTACACATCTCACCTGGGTAAGAATGTAGCTCCTTTGAGCTTCTTCCATTTTTATCAAACTGGCATTGATATAGTCATTGTCTTCCTGATGCAGTTTAATCCGACTGTGGTCAACTGAAAGGCAAACCAGAGCCGAGAGGTTACTCCTGGGGACCAGCGCCCACACACCAGCAGAGCGCCCACAGAAAAGCCAAGAAGGTGAGGTGATGGCATGGGTCACTCAAGCCACTGAGACCTTGTTGTTTCTGTGGGGATTCGTCATCAGTATGGGTGACTGGTATTTTCAGAAAGATTATTCTCAAGTGTTTGAAGCTTCACACTGCAAAGCAGCGTTGATATACTCTACTAAAATACAGATTGGTCCTGTTTGGAAAATCTGTTTTTGGGTCTCACCTTCCTGTGACACCTGTTACTCTCCCCTAAAACCTGATAGGCCAGACGGAGCCATCAAAAGATCTGCTCTCTGATGTTGGACACAGACTTTTATAGTGTCAAAAATAGAGTGGTTTCAACCCTTAAAAAGGAACAAAATTCACCCCAAATCCCACCTGGTCCCCACAGCTGCAGCTGATACCAAAAGCCATGGTAGGCAGGATGTGAGATCCTACCTCAACCTGACTCTGTCCAGTGGTTTGAAGATTAAATGACTCAAGTACACAGAAGTGTGAAAAGGCAAAACTTAAAATTCCTTTAGACGTCTAAAGTTCTCTTTCTTGTTTTTAAACTTCAAGAACAATGAACCTAAATGATTCTAAACTTTTAAAATTCAGAACATATCACAATCAAAGACATTTAAAGAAGAATTTAGATGAAAAAAATCTAAATTCAAAATCCTGCAAGCATATTAAATATAAATTTTAGATTAGTTCTTAGAAATAAACTCTCATTAGGAAGTTCTGCCCCAAGATATTGAAAAAACACAGCCACTCTTTTTCTCTTATCATTAATTTGTCACAAAAGCAGTAGTTTGCTGGTCAGGCGAAGTAGCTCACACTTATAATCCCAGCACTCTCGCAGGCTTAAGCAGGAAGATCACTTGAGGCCAAGAATTTGAGACCAGCCTGGGCAACATAGCAAGACCCGTCTCTACAGAAATAAAAATAAAACAATCAACCATGGCCAGGCATGGTGGCTCATGCCTGTAATCCTAGCATTTTGGAAGGTCAAGGCAGGAGAGCTGCTTGAGTCTGGGAATTCAGGAACAGCCTAGGCAACATACCGAAATCTCATTTCTACAATAAATAAATAAATAAAGCAAAACAAGACAAAAAACGAGTCAGGTGTGGCTGTGCATGCCTTCAGTCCCAGCTACTTGGGGGAGGGGGAGGCTGAGGTGGAAGGATCGCCTGAGCCCAGGAGGTAGAGGCTGTGGTGAGCCATGATTGTGCCACTGCATTCCACCCGGGCACCGGAGTGAGAATCCAACTCAAAAAGAAGAAGAAAAAAATTAGTCTGGTTTGGTGGAACGCTTCTGTAGTCCCAGCTACTTGGGAGACTGAGGTAGGACTGCTTGAGCCCAGGCATTTGAGGCTGCAGTAAGCCAAGATCAAACCACTGTGCTCCAGCCTAGGTGACAGAGTCAAAAAACAACAACAAAAAATCAAGCAGTGGCTCCAGGGCCACTCTTCTTATCCTGTGAGTGTAGCTACTAGGTGCAGGTAGACACAATTACTTCTGGCATGGCACAAGGCACGGTGGACTCAGGTGACCACTCATAAACAGCATCCTGAGATCAACAGGACAAGAGGAACAGTGGGCACGATCAGTTGGAACTTTGTGCTCTAAGGGCCCAATGCTTCGCCAATCAGTGCCATTCCCAACGTCACTTCTCCCTGCAGAGGCTCAGCACAAACCAAGACCCTTAGGTGATTCTCAAATGGATCACAGAGATTTAAAAAGATCTCAAAGTCAACCTTGGGACAGGCATCAGTGAGCTATGTGGGTTCCATCAGCACTAGGCGACCCTCGAAACAACCGCCCTGGAGCCCTGGCATCCGCCCCTGTAAAGTGGGAGGACCTGGGCAATAATGTGTGCACAGAACCCAGCTCCGTGCTGGCCCCAAGCAGATAATCATGACTGTCACCTGCTGGCATTGCCACCTGTACTACAGCTGGGCAGCAGGCCCCCTCCCAGCTCAAGCCATTCTCCCCATTTCTCCCATAATCTTCCCAGCAAATTCCTTTTTCTACAGGATGGTGGGAGTAGAGGAAGAGACATGAGGCGTGAGACTGGGGTGAAAGGCTTGGGAACTGCTTCCCTGGAAAAATACTCTCCATCAGCTGGCCGGTGGTTTCTGACCAAGAGTATTGGTGTTGAGGCTCAATGTGTGTCACCTGATGACCCAGAATGCACAGCAAATGTTCCCGGTGACAACCATCTTGACCATGGCCCACACCTGCTAAGCACTTGCCATGCCAGAGCAAGGCACTGGGCAAGGGGCTTGTGCTTCATTTCATGGCACACGTTCCTATGATACAGGTGTGACTCCTGCCTTTCGGAAGATCAGAGGGGAAAGCCACACAGTGCTAAGTGGCAGAGCTGAGACAAACCCAGGCAGGCACCAAGGCTGCAGGATAGGAGACACAAGCTCCACACAAGTCCCAGGTCACTTCCTGCCCATTCTAGTAATCTGGGTGCCAGAGCAGGATGCACCACTAAGTCCCCAGCAGCCAGCACTGAGGACCACGCCAGCCACGGGCTCAGGGCACGCAGGAAGCCCTGGGTAATGGATCCTCTGCAACCCCAGGATCAGCAGCCCAACCCCTCGCTGACTGTTGACGTTGAAGACCCCTGAGGGGAGTCAAAGGGCCTCTGCGGCGAAAGGAGTCGGCACAAGCAGGTCTTGTGCCCAGCTCCACTTTTCCT